TGGAAGGGGGTCTTTCTATTGCAGCTGCCTTTGCTCCTCAATCTTCCGTAGCGCTTCGTATGAAACCCAGCCTTATATAGCCCTATATAGAGCCTTATCAAGCTCAAGAGGTATACGAATCTGCTGCTTTGCTTAGTTCAACTGTAACTCGGAGAGCTGGTTGTTCAATGCAAGCCGAATTACCTTCTACGCTTCGAAGAAGTCGAAGGTCGACCTCCTAAGGTACAATTTAAGGAGCACGTAAATCCCTTCAACGTGGGAGGTAGCTATATTCCTAAAATAAGCTTGTTGGTCGACCTATATAGAGATAAGCTTCTCCTTATATAGCAGAAGCTATATCTCCTTAATATAACCAACCTGCTTAAGGTTTCTCGAGGCGTACTTCCTTTCGAACTCCTTTAGACGCTCCTTGTATATCTCCTTAGTCGGCAAGCTAAGAATCAAGAACCAAAAAGCGTAAAACTCTCCCTATTCCTCGGCCGTCTAGAACATAGGCTGGCATCATATAAGAACCGCCTTATTCGCGTGCCAGGCATAGATAGAGGTCGCTAATAGAAAGAGAGTCGAAGCTATATTTATAACTGCCAGGCACCAGTCTATCAAGATGACAGATAGAAAGACTCCGCTATACTGCTCGTACAATGTCTTCAACCGCTCGAGAGCCTATATATAATCTTCTTTAGTTTCGCCGCTTAAGAACGCAAAGGCAATATAAAAGGAGCGCCTAGTTGTATCTACGCCAATTATATCGAGGAGTGGCATACTATACTTGTTCGTCTTATATATATAGTCGAGAAGGAGGACTTCAGGGTACGCTCGAAGGTAGATAAAAAAGTCGGGATATACAAAGAGAACTACAGTTATATGCCGATCTAGCCCGTACTATATACGGCTCTAGAAGCCTTCTTTCTTAAGCTGGTTTATAAGCGTATAGATAGGGCTCTCGCCTTGACGAGAGTCCTGCCGGACTTCTACGATACGATTATAGATATCTTAACGCGTCGCTAAAGAGCCATTTTGCCGTACAACTATCTAAATCTCCTTCGGCGTAAGGCCAGCGTCTAAGAGCACTGGCAATTGTAATATGCTACTAGAGAGCTGTCGGTAGATAGGGTACGCAGATAGATATAGGCTCGGCTTGTGGTTATACGTCGCGTAGTGTTAGCCGAGACGGTGCTTTAGAGTCCATCCTTTACTAGACTCCTTAGCGATAACTAAAAAGAGGTAATTCGTCATTCGAGTAGTCGTTTTTCTCTGGCGATCTCTCTCTGGCGACGAAGGTAGCCGGCGGCTTCGATCGCATGCGAAATAGACCTTTAGAAAGCCGTCTGGCCGTCGAAAAGACCGTTAAATTGTAAAGGCATAGCCTTAAGGCTTCGCATACGAGTTAATTGACTCAAACAAGGCGTCGCGTGACTCGAAAAAGCCCTCGGGAGGGAGGCAGTCGTCCACGAAGGTGGCTATAGTCGTCGAAGCGTACGGCAGCAGCATTCAGGGGTTCAGGGGCGCGGAGTTGATGCTACGTTAGATGCATTTTTGTGCTGACTAATCAATTTGTGCTGACTAAGGCGCACATGATGTGCGTCTAGTGGGAGCCGCTGGTTCTTGCTCGCTGAGTCATCAATTGCAGTTGTGCGAAAGTCAAGATTTTGCTTATAGCAAACGATATCCTCTCCCTACCCGCTGTCGCTTTCGTCGTACGTGATATCTTCGACAGTTTTCCGCCGCTCATAGCCATCTGTCGTAGGCATGACAAGAATCTAAGCGAGGACTGGACAAGGGAATGGATATAACCTATTAAGTGACAGAATGTTTTTAAAACGAAGAGCTGGTGGAACACCGAGCAGATTGATCGGCTCGTTGAAGACGTCGAAATTTGACGCGAGGGGAATGCATGTTTCTTGCAAAAGCTCATCGTAACGCGCTCCATAATGCGAACGGACAAATCATCTGTGGCTGGCCACTGAATCTTCTCGCAAATACCTACGGGGGGTACAGTTTGAACCGTCGAGACGCGACCTTGAGCCCATTATAAATCACGTGCCGGAACCGGCCGGAAGCTTCCGACCAAGATCTTTACCGACGAGAATACCCGTTACCTATACATGACGTTACCTTTCTCATCGGCAAAGTAAGCTTCTTGTTATGGGCCAGACTATAACCGTGAGTGTCGTATGAGATGAAATAAGGGCTAATAAGGCTCGTACCCCACAGCTACAGGAGCACTTCCACTACAGTTGCGAGCCTCTATACAAACATCACATACACGGGCGACCCCTAAAAGGTTGTTATTAGCGCGGAATCTGCAACAGGGATCTTCCTCTCAGCCTCGAAAGAACACCCTAAAACAACGAAAAGAGCTGATTCAACGCAAAAAGATAGGGTATCTTGCAATAACCTAAAAGGCTAAGTCCATCTGTACGTTTCTTCCGGAGAAACGTTCGCCGTTTTAACATTGAGATTGAGATTTGGGGCTGACCCTGGTCTTTAAGTTACCACAGTACTGTGGTATGATGGTGTCATGAATTAACCTGCAGCGGCCGGTGGGGCCGACCTGCATGGTCTGCGGGCGACGCCTGCGTCCAATCGTTCCGGTCCAGGAACGGACCAATCAGAAGAGGATCACACTTGGCATAGGGAAGGCTTGGTGATCCAGGTATAAGGCTCACAAGGGATCACTGGTGATCCAAGGTGATCCAGTATGAGGGATCACCAGAGGGAGGCCGTGATCCATAGGAAGAGCCGTAGTATATAGGATAGCTAGACACTCGTTCTGGAGGACTCTGGGAGTTCTCCAGTGAGCAATTACAAGCAGTAAGGTAGCCCTACATTACTGTGCAGACATTGCGACTTGCATTGTTGTGAACCCTTTGGCTTCACCGAGACCTACAGTCCGACCAGCAGATACCTTCGACCGGCGAACCCTTTCAGAGGCAGGACTGCCTGTGGTTTCGTCACAGATGGATAATAAAAACCTCCATGCGGGGTACCCTCGCTGATTCAGGTAATGATACCTGCTTATTTCTATACTAAATATACCAAACCACTAGCTAGTATTTTGTATGCATCCCGTTGGCTGCAATAATAGCTTTGTAGCGCTCTGGCATTGAGGCCAATAGCTGCTTCAAGTAGTCGTCCGGCAATGCCTCCCAAGCCTCCTTAATATATTCGCGAAGCTTGTTATACGAGGGCCTTTCTTCAAGGCCATACCGGTCTTCAATCCAGTCCTTTATCTAATTCCAATAGGACTCGATTGGGTTCAAGTCTAGTAAGAAAGGTGGCCACTCTATTATAACAATGCCTCTCTCCCTGAGATCCTCCTTTGTCTCTATAGCTATATGCCCTGGAGCACTATCTTGTATTAAGATTAGATCTTTACCAAGCTATGCCTTATATATCTATATCCAGCTATGAATAATAGGGATAGTTCGTATATGGTACGTCTTAGCGTTGATCTTCCCCTAGTCCTTTTCCCAAAAGAGTCTAGGGCCTTTATCCAAGCTAGAGAAGCAACCTTAGAATATCCAGCCTCCTTTATATTAATGCTTTTCTACAATGCAAGTAGGATCCTACTCTTCGCCTTACCGCCGGGTAATATATTGCTTCCGATATGGCCCGCTAGTAACCTAAGTCTTATCGGTCTAAAGGATCTTTGCCTATTGTTTAAGGGTCTAATATTTATGCTCTTGCGCCTAAGCTAAACGGAGTTGCCGGGTTCGTTCGGTAATCGGTGGCTTCTTATAAGCAACTTGCCGGCAGAAGCCGAGTCGATAAAGGGCATGCTTAATCACCCAAACGCCGAAGACCCTAGCGAAGATAATAGCCAAGAGTTCGAGGAAGCCTATTCGACGAGTCTTTTTGCTGGAACAAATAAACTGAATAAGCTCTTCTTCTTGTTCTAGTGTTAATGTCCGAGGCCGGCTAGTACTCCGGTAGGCAATTGCATTAGGAGCGCGAATCGTAGTCCGGATCTAGGCCTTAGTATAGCTAGTGATACGATGGATCTTAGCTTGGCTTTTGGCTGCATCGAAGTATAAGACTCGAATGCGTTGGCGTTGTTCGGTAGTCAACTGTTTCGTACCACTTGACCCTTGTGGCCGTGCTATTGTATTGCTGGATTGCGTTGACTGCGTTGACTACGTTGAGTGCGTCAACTGCGATGATTGCGTTGAGTGCGTTTAACGAGAAACGAGATGGCTGTCGAAAAAACAGGGGGCTCGATAAGTTCAGCTGATTGGTCAAAACGCGTCGAGTGTTGTGACCCACAGGTACTTGACTAGGGGGTTTTCTTTATGCACGCGACCACAGTAGACGCTAACGAACTCTCCAGGGGTCCGACTAGACGGTACCCTAGCTAGCCAAATCTTTAAAAGCGAAGATATATAAGGTAGTAAAGCTTAATCAATGTCTAATTGTCTGACTTAGATCAAGTGGGAAGTAGTGGCAAAGCTTTAGGTTTGCTTGGTATTCCGATTTGCCCACTAGGAATTTGGAGGACACTGTCTGATGGTTTGTTAAGGTATGATTCTACGAATCAATGTCCCACAAGGGATGTGCGAGAGTTTATCGATAAGAATTATACGTGGCTGAGGCTACAAGTACAACTATCGGGCGACCCCGTAACGTACATACAAATAACGTTAGCGGTAGCGGGCCTTTTGAGATGTTGTGTATCCCGCGTATTGCCTGGGGATGCACGGCAAGGGTGGGTCTTCAATGCAGATTCGCCGATACGCGTATTCGGGGATTCCTGCGACTGGATTTTATGGAAGTCTTCAGTGGGCCACGACGCTTTTCGACACACAGTTTGGAGGCACAGCCGTGATGGCTCATCATGGCTGAGATCCCAAAATGTCATATCTAACCGCCTAGCCGGTGTCGTATTTCCTTAGCTGGGCATGCCAGCATGCATGGACGCGCGTCATCAGGATGCCGGCCCCTGATCCAGGGTCGGTCGGGTAACGGGGGCGGCTCTATAACTTTGTTGGATTTCCCTGGGCGTTTCCAAATAATGTGACGGGTATCTCTTGTGACCCAAGTGTTCTGGATCTTCTGCTCCTCCTCGTCCGAACACTGTGGAGAACCGGATCTGACTTCGAATCTGACCCCCGGGTCGAAGACTCGAACTAGTAATTATCGCCATGGCCGACGACAGCAGCAAATACAAACAGTTCAAACTCTACCATTACGAACCAAACCTTGGGGCCAATATCGTCTTCATCGTTCTGTTCGCCGCGACCGGCATTGGCCATGTCGTGCTGCTGGTCCGCAAGAGGGTCTGGTACTTCATCCCGTTTGTCATCGGGTGCATATGTGCGTTTTTTACTCTCTCCGATCCTCTGTAGATGCGATGGACTTGCTAGCTGACTTGAGCATGCGACACAACACAGTCGAGGCGATCGGATATGTCGGGAGGGCCATTGCGGCGAAAGAAGCGCCCAACTACACGTTGACGGCCTACATCCTGCAGACCATCCTCATCCTGCTCGGACCGGCCTTGTTCGCCGCCTCGATCTACATGATCCTCGCCCGGCTGATCAGATTTCTCGGTGCCGAGGACTACGCGTTGGTTAGAACAAATTGGATGACCAAGATTTTCGTCGCGGGCGATGTCCTCTCCTTCCTCGGGCAGAGTGCCGGTAAGCCATTATTACACTATCACAGCCCTTCATCCTCCCTATTCCCAGACCACCACCCTTGCGCAGGAGCATCACAAATCACTAACAACCCTTTGTTTCTCCCCAGGCGGCGGAATCATGGCAAAAGCCAAAACGCCCGACGACCAGGAGATGGGTGAGAACGTCATCCTCGGCGGGCTGGGCATCCAGATCATCTTCTTCGGCTTCTTCGTCATAACGACCATCGTGTTCCACGTGCGCATCGCCAAGAAGCCCACCCCGCGCTCGTACGCCGTCACGACGCCGTGGCGGCAGCACATCCTCGCCCTCTACGTCACGAGCGTGCTGATCCTGGTCCGCTCGATCTTCCGCATGGCCGAGTTCGCGCTCGGCAACGACGGCGTGCTGATGCAGAGCGAGGCGTACCTGCTCGGTCTGGACGGCGCCCTGATGTTCCTGGTGACCGCCGTGTTCCTGTGGAGTCACCCCAGCCGCGTGCTGGGCCCGGCGTACAAGGAGGCGCTTGCTAGTGCCAATGATAGTGTTGTTGAGAGCGGGCGGGACACGGCCGACAGTTTCCAGATGATGGTGGTATCGGCGCCGTCGTCGTCCGTGCACCCTGACACGCTGCCCGAGGGGACCAAGTTACCGTCGGCGGCCGGGGCGTATGATGGTGGTGACCCGAGGAGCGGGATGGGATCCTCCAGGGGGGGATATACCACACCGGCCGGGTATGAGAGGTCCCGGAATGATTGGTCGCCGAGGGCACACCGGTATTCGTCTTCCTACCAAAGGGAATAAGAGTAAGGTGGCAGTCATAGGGAATTCGGGAAACTAAGGGGTGGGATAGACGGACTGGGAAATGGCATACAGAGGTGGGACAGGCTCTCTGAGCCACTGGTACTGGTTGCAGACACTGCGCTGACCAGGCGAGCGAGTAAACCATAATAGTTGGGTGTTTTATGTTTCGGGATTGTTCATAGAAGAGGGCAATGGTACATATAAGGTACAAGTATTATATTGTACATGTACAGCGCTTGCAATCGATATAGCCTGATGACCGTCGTTCATTGTTTTCCGCAACATCTACCTGCTTAGGCCGCCAGAGGACTCGATGCTGCTGCTGATTGCCAGCAGCGCCAGTAATACTGAAGACAGCATTGTTGCCTAACCATTCGCCTCACATCGTTAGCTTAAAAAGGACTCACTCGACGAGGATGTCAAGATGAACGAGGCCACAGTGAAGGCAGTCTGCGGATCGCCTCCCATCGCTGACCCGATAGCTCCCACGAGGCACGAGGCCAGGCAAGGAACGGACCCAGAGATGGCGATGCGGTTCGTGTTCCATCCCTCGACAAACCCAAGCGCGTGCCGCCGGTCCTTGCGGCGCAGCCGGGGGACACGTAAGCCGGTCTGGGCTGCGGTACGTACATCATCTCCTTCAGAACGAAGTCGTCGAACAGCACGCACTGTGGGTCGTGAGCTGGGCGTGTACTGGTTTGACGTTTTCAGCCCCCGCTCCTTGTAGAAATGAGAGTCTAAGTAACGGTTCGTGTAATAATACTTACGGGAACTTTGAAATACACGGACGGCCCGTAGAGTTTTGAATGAGAAGTACCGCCGAAAGAAGCCCCCCACATTTAGGTCTCGTACAAACGCCATAGCTTTTCAAAGGAATGGTTGTCTATGTAGACGAGTTGCGGATGGATAGCGATGAATGCCTGGATTCCCTGGAAGCTCTCGTAACTATCAAACTTGGTTTGCAGGACGCATTGGATTTGCTGCACTGGCAGGCCACAGCCCTTGGCCCCGGATCTGTAGCAGACCAGGTACAGCGAGCATGTCGGCTTGGTGTTGTTGTAAACGCCGGGGCTTTCCGTGTCGTAAGCTACCGTTAAGCGTACGGGACGAGGATGACAATCTGTAGCTCGAAACACACCAGGGAACAACTTGGCTCCGATTTCCCTGTTTCCCCTATTGTCGTTGTCTTTACTTATCCGGTGGTACTCCAGGTAAGGTAATTGCATACGGATTAGTAGGGTACCTTGTAAGTTATTGTCCACGCGTCCTGATGTATTGTGGCAGGGGGTGCGGAGTGGAGTAATCTTTGCATCCCGCGTTCCGGCCGCAGGTCTGCAGATGTGCGGCTTCTTGGCAGTCCGCGTCCGTATTACCGCCGATTTTTGCCTACCCCTGACTCCTACTTTGCAGGAAAATACAATTACATACGATGGCCTGTGCGGTCCTGGATCCAGTCTTCGCAGGTCACAGACTCACAGTAAATGTCAAGGCTACTATATCTATTAGTCTACTGGTAGTTGTAACTTCGGTACTGCAATTAAGGACACCTATTATTCCCCAGCGCCGCTCCTCGAAAATCGTATAACCTATTACCGCTAAATCTAATACTAGAAGTTCACTGTATCCCAGAGAAAGCGAGGACCACGATGCTTCGCTTCAATTACGTACTTAACTAGGACGGCGCTAAGAAATAAAGCACCAATGGATTGGATTCTAAAATCATGTCTAGCTGATTGTATGCTTTTAAGGTGGAGTTATTCCCATTTACAAGTTACGAGTTGCTAAAATCAGGGGCAGAGACCACAAGCTAGGCAGGCCTTCTGAGCTTAAGTGAACTCGTCTCCCGCCTCTCCTGGAAATGAGCTCGTTACGTCTCTATTCTGAAAATAAGGTCGGGTGCCTCTTTAAGCACCTCAGATCTAGAGAGAAAGAGTACGCTCACAGATGAAGCCAAGGACATTGCCAGGGATCCGCCGTCAGGAACGATCTGAACTCCCGCACCACCGGTTCCAACCATCCCACTCAGCTCGCCGTCAAGCGAGAGATTCCGCTCAGCCTTCCTTGCCCAACCCCCGACGGCGAGTCAGCTGGAGAAGTATCCTGCCGCAGTGGGCTTCACCTTACAAGTTAGATGCCTCGGCTGGTAACACCAACTCCGTGGAGACAAGACCCTCGCCGTCCTGCAGCACGTTTTCATCTCGACGACCTTGGAGGACCTTGAAAGTCACCGGAGTCAGAGGAAGGAGTCAACGCTGCTCCCGTGTCCGAATCGGTGATAACATCAGCCTGCTCAGTGCTGGTTAAGTTCTGCGGGCTGAATCGGACGTGCCGGTGATTCAGCGTTAAGAACGGCGTAGCAAGGGATGCGCGGCGGTTCGCTTGATGGTGACGCGCAGCGCCTTTTGCGAACCCGACGCCGAGGGACTGCAATGTCGGGCCGTTGTCGAGAACTGCAAGCGATATCCCGGGATTGGAGCGGTACGGTGGTGGGACCCCTTACTCATTCAATGCGGAAGTCATGGTGTGAATCAATCGAATAGGGCTCAGGCTAGGGGCTTGGGGCTAAGGCTTGCCGTTGACAGCAGTCAGACGAAGTCTCAGGCAGTACGTGAAAGTTGAGAAACCCCCAAGCCATGCATCTTCCCTTTTGGTGTCGACGAGCTTTCCGTCCGTCCAATTGCCGAACGGCAGGGCTTTATACCTGCTAATTACCTGCTCGACTTGTCGTCGCACAGTCACACCCCGCCATGGTTCTTCCCGTGGCCATGCTGGGACAACAGTTGCACAACCGCAAGTCGGGCGCGCCGTGGGGAAGGCGGCACACCGCAGCACAGCTATATGACCGTGCATAGGTAGGTATGTAATTGTTAGGCCCCTCAAATGCTGGCGGAGAATACGAGTGCCTTTATCTTTTGACACGGACCCTTCTATCCGCGCCAACCTAAACACTCGCACGACCGGTTCCAGCCAGCAATATCCCATCTGCTAACCAGAACGCGATCAAGGCCACTGTCTCAAACGACGTAGACTGGACTATAAGCGAGCTTAAGCCCCTGAACGAAGAAACTACTTCGTAGCCCCAACTATCTCCTCAAAGTCGTTGACTCGGTCAATGTCTTAATAACCAACCAAATCGGGCGTGTGGCTCAGTTGGTAGAGCGTTCGCTTAGCATACTCCTCTGTATGCGAAAGGTCCTGGGTTCGATTCCCAGCTCGTCCAGATCTCATTTGATGAAGAAGGTCTCCTATCTGGTGACGCAATTTTTCTCTCTTCTTTTGCCCTCATCATCGCAGCTGTGACCCCTCTCTCTGCTCCTCCCAGTCTGACACGACTCTCTTACGTCCAACGTTATCATATAGGTGACGGACCTTAGCGTGACCGATTCTTCCCGTTAACACTGCTACTGTCTCTCCTGTCTGTCTGCCCTGTCGTTACTCCTCATCTCCTAGTATTGTTTTCTCCAGCTGTTAAAGACTCTCCTTCCATCAGCCCGACGATGTTCTATAGACCACTTCAAGATATCGTGGGGAATGGAAGCAAACGAGACAGTCACCGAGATGGCTGAAGCACGAACCTTAACCGTAGCTCAGTCCTCACCACAATTTTCGACACCCACGATCCATCCAAGTTCAGGAACACTCATCTGATGTCATTGATTCCGAAAATGAGAGGCTTTACATTGAGCCCTCGAACCTTTTATACTCACATGACCGAACTATTCATTCCCAAACCGAAAGCCCCGATTAAGTCCCCATTTTTATGTTACCATCGTTAGGTCCGAACTCATCACTCATGATGTACCTTCTATTCATCGTATAGATCCCCCCGTCATCCAACAGCAGACTCACTCGACTTAGGCAAGACCAGCCAGCTTCAGCACGTTGGGATTGTTGCTGAACAGATCCTGGCTCGCATTGTACAGCATGTGCACGATGTTCCGGACGATCTGGCGCGTCTCGTCGTCCAGCTGCTCTGTGGGAGGGCTCAGCACCGCCTCAAAGACAGGGATCAGCTTGGGCGTGAGCTGCTGGATGGTCGGCTCGTTGGACTCATCTAGATATTCGTTAGTGGGGTACTGCAGTAGACATGAAACAGCGATACTCACAAAGCTTGAGGATGCATTCGTAGACCGGTGAGTTCTCTTCGTAGTCGTCCTTGAGCGGAAGCAGGCCAACCAGAGCGGGCAGCACATCGCCGAGCGGGATCTGGTCCGGATGGGCCATGATCATGCGCGTGAGGCAGCCCGCCGCATTGTCCTTGATGCGTGCCTCCTGGATCTGCAGCATGGGCTCGAGCTTCTGGAGGATGGTGCCGTAGTGGGGCAGGTACGTGTTGGTGTCAGTCGAGTTGAGAATGAGCTGGCCGGTGGCGTACGCGGCGTTGCTCTTGGTCTCGAGGTCGGGGTCCGACAGGCGCTTGAGGAGCAGCTTAAGCAGCTTCTCGGTGTACGGGGTGACAGCCGCCTCCATGTTAGCCGCGCACTCAGCAATGACACCGACACCGGTGGACCGCTCAATGTTCTCCGACTCGGACGCCGCAAACTTCATGATCGGCTTCTCAAAGATCTTCCAGAGCTCGGCAAAGCCAGGGCCGAGTGCGACGGCAAGACCGATCACAACGTCGAGCGCAGTGTCAATGACGAGCCAGTCATACTCAGACGAGCCCTCCACCTCCTGGTCCTCATCCTCGTCCCCAAGATCCTGCTGGCATGGGTGCGAGCGGGTGATGATGGTCGAGATGACGGTGACGACCTCCTTCATGAAATCCTCCTGGGAAAGGATAGCGGGACCGCAAGCCTTGAGGGTGGCCGCCACATTGCGGTTGATCTCGGTGACAACGGACCTTGTTGAAGTTAGTCTCTATACACAACCACCGATGGTGAACAGCAAACAGGGTTGAGGAAAGGCAGTCAGAAGTAGATAAGTACGCGTTCTCAGCATCCGCAGTAATGCGTTTGAGTGAGCTGGGTAATAACGTGTAGTGGTCATCATCGAAGGAGGGAACAGAAAATAACAATGGGAACGTACCGATCACCCTCCTCATGCCACAGCGCAAGCGTGGCCTTCGAGACGATCTCGCCAAGCTTCACCAGCGTGACGGTCGGTTGTTGCTTGAGCGGAAGGCCAGGCTCCCAGTTGGTGCCAGTCTCTTGCTCCATGAGCTGCCAGACGCGGGCGTACGACCTCCAGAGCGTGGCCACAGCGGCCTTGCGGCAGCCTTCGTACGAGTGCTCTGCCAGCGGGGAGATGCTCTCGATGGCCTTCTCGAGGTACTCGGTGATCTCGTGCGTGCCGCAGGCGTACGTGATGACGTCGCCTAGGATCTCGATGGCCACTTCCTTCTCAAGTGCCTCGATCGACACGCCGAAGTCCTCATAGTCGTCATCCTCGTCATCGTCCATCCAGCCTTCCTCATCGTCCTCAGTATTCTTGAGCTTGAGCTTCTTGCCGCCGGTGATGACTTCGTTGTCCGTGCCGACAATGCCCTTCTCCTCCTCGCTAAGCGTGAGCTTGATTTCCTCCTCCTCCAGCTTCAGGCTGTCAAACAGGCCCTTGAACACGCCGGGTAGGAACGGCGCGAACTCCTTCTCGTAGACTTTGGCGAGCGAGCTCCATAGTATGAAGCTGCTCTCACGCAGTCTCGAATTGTCAAGTTGGAGCGCCTCTTCGCTGGAGCGCATCAAGTCGACAACGTAGGGCTGGAAAGCCTGGGCACCGACGGCAGTAGCAATGCGGCCAATTGAGTCGCAAACACCGCTGCGCAGCGAAAGGTCGTCCTCGGAGTCCTTAATGGTGAGGTATGCACCCAGAGCATGCATGGTCTGCTCGAAGTAGGGCTTGAAGTCCTCGCCAAGGCACTCCGCAATGGCGCCGATCGCACCCGACGCGGCTACCTTGACCTTGTAGTCATCGTGGGTGATGAGTGCACCGATATTGCTGATGAGGTCGCTGGCATTCTGCTTCAGAAGCTCGGCGTCCAGACCATCTGACATGGCGTCGAGCGCACCGCAAACGGACCGGATGATCTCGATGTTCTTTTTGGCCAGCTTCTGGTCTTGGGTGGGCGTCATAGCAGCCTGCAGGTTCCTGACCAAGGCGGCCATGATGGGCTCGTTGAAGGAGGAGAGCTCCTCCGCAATGTCGTCAGCCAGGCGGGCAAGCCCAATGAGGGCAGTGTGCCGGACACCGACATCCGCGTCGTTGAGGAGGTTGATGGCAACAGGCATGATGGCCTTGACTTGCGAGGCTATGAAGTCAGGCGCACCCTCGACGACAGTGCCCAAAGCAAGGATACCGGCCTTCCTGTAACCAGGCTCGCTGGACGTCGCAAACTTGGGGAGGGCGTCCAGCAACGGCACGATGACCTGGCGAGGCGGCAGGTCGTTGGCCAGCTGGTCAAGCAGGGCAAGGGCTGACCGCGCAGGACCCATGTCATCCTCATCCTCATCGTCGTCGATCTCGGTGAGGATGAGCAAGCTCTTCTGGGTGAGTTCCTGGCCCATGTCCTTCATGCCCTGGATCTTCATGCGTCGGTAGCGCACCGTCTGAGCGAGGAAAGCGAGCGCCTGCGCGCGCACATCGTCCTCGGCCTGCTTGTTCGCGGCCAGGTCGATCATGAACTGGACGAGGTCCTTGAGATATTTGCCAAGCAGCGCCGATTCGTAAGCCAAGAACTGCTGGAAGACTTCGAAGGCCTGGCCGGTCTTCTCGTCGTCGCCGGACTGAACGGCATCCTTGAGAACGTCGACCATGGGCGGAATCAGAGTCTGGAGCTTGGCGACCGATTCTTCGTCCTCAAGGGGCTCGAACATGAGCAGCATGGCGCCGATGGACATCATCGAGTTGATGCGAACATCAGCGCTCTGCGGGTCACGAAGGGTGTGACCGAACAGCTCGAGCAGCTTGGGCATGTCGTCCGCGAAGGTGGTTGGGTTCTCCTCGAGCAAGCTGAACATGATGTAAGAGCCGACTTCACGCTGGCTGACCTCGTTGCTGGTGGCCAGGGTGTAGAGGGCGGGGATGAGATCGGGCCACTCGCCGTCCTCCAGATCGAGCGCCGCGATCGCGGCAACAAGACGCGCATTGGCGTGGCGGGCCCTGGGTGTCTGCTCGTTCATTGTCGCCTGGACGAGGTGCTGGCGCACGGCAGGCTTCTGCTCCTTGGGGATCTTCTCCCAGTGCTTGACGGCCAGGCGGGCTGCCTGCACGGCGGCCTGCTGCCGCACGTTCACATCCTGGTGGGTCGCGACAATCTCGACAAGCAGAAGAAGGGACTCCGGGTGGGAGTAGTAATTCTTCTGCAACTCGGCAGTGATCGCTTTGAGGTTTTGGGTGTTGGCTGGGAGCAGACAAGTCAGCAAGGGGACGAGGATGGGCATTGCATATTGGGCGGGGAAGGGCCCTTGGGTGAGAGGATGTTGCGCGGGACAACTTACGGACTTGCGACTCCTGGAGGAGCGCCGCCAACCTTTGCTGATCCATGGTGTCGCTCCTGGATGAATAGGAAAGGGGTATCACGAAGAACAAAAAACAAAAGAGAGACGGACTGCCCGGTGAGAGACGGGAGGGTATTGTCACCACCGCAGGACGCCCCAGGCACCAAAGAAAAAAAAAATCGGCACCTCAATTTGTAGGGTGGAACTGATAAGGATTTGAATTTGCTGCGGGGCAACCGTGAGCTTAAAGTGACCAAGTGCGGGGCAACAGCCAAAAGCGCTCACCGCCTTGATCCTCTGGCTCTCGTAAGAGTTTTGCTGTACTAGGGTTAGGGTGCTCACGGCGCTCCTTAGCCCAAGCAATCGTCAAAGGCCGAATCTTAGCGTAGTACCTTACATAAGGTACAGGTAATTTAGCTTCGTTCTTTCTGTCCAGATTTGTTGACGACCAGTATGTCATCCCTTTTCCCGTTACGTTGGGCCCGGATAAGGAGTTGCCAACCGCGTTGCGGTAGTCTCCGAAGTAGGTATCCCAGGGGAAGACCGGAGACATCGGTTTCTCAGGCGAACTCTTGGCCACGGCTCGATAGGTAGGTAATCTTGAGCGTTGTGCGCGTTAATAACGACGGTCTCAAACTCTCAACCAGGAGCTCCCAATCCACGACATGTCGCAAATACGATCTCCGGCGAATGTAAAGCAAAGTTTGCATTCCGCCCTGGAAGTTGTGAGGTCGATGGTCTGCTCGATTCTCCGATCATGTACATGCAAAGGGGAATAAAACTTACTCCCTTGGAAGCAATGTCGTCCTTGACATCATCTTCTTCACATTCTTAGCCTCGCGTTAGCCATCAGGCCGCCATCCTCGTCGACAGACTTGTCAATATTCCTATCCTCCCCGCCTCGCCTAATAGATTACAAATACGGAGGAAGTTCCTACGCGTGGTTCATGGAATACGTCCTTGGCACCTCGACTGGTATCAGGTCGGCTAGCCAAGATAGACCGCCAGTGAGGTCGAATGCACTGTCGCAGATATGCGGGCTCGTGTCTGTTACCTCAGCCTGCAGAAGGTCACCGAGGGTGCCTCGGACGGGCCACTCAGTCTTTGAGAGCGCCCGAAGGACAATGTTGACGAAGCTCGGGAGCATGTCGTCAACCTTGAGGGCGAGATTCTTTGTGATCAGGACAAGGTGCCCTCATCTCAAGATATCGCATTCGCGGATGGTAAGGTACCTAAGTCGTGGGAGCGAGTGTGTGACGGACCGAACGTAGATGCCGTGCAAAGCGGTGCCACTTTGCGTTCAACGACACCGCGGAATCAAGATACTGAGCGAAACCTAGGGCGGCAACGACTTTGGCGCACTCACCCCAGCAGCCCAGTTGTTTAAGGGTTTAAGGGGCATGACGGCCAACCGATCGCCCGGCTGCAATGTGATTTTGGTATCCTACTAGAGATCCAATGTGGCCATGGCAATGGATCGGTTCGGGTCCATGTCAACAAAAGAGCGGCTAAGGAGCACAGGACTTGTACCGGCATTCCTCGAAGGTGCCGCGCATCTCATGCGGTTCCAACATGCCGACAGACAAGCCGCTGGTTTGTTCGGCACAGGAGTCAGAGCATGCTGCGCAGCGCGAGACACTAAAGTTACCAGCAGTATTCTAATCCCGGATATTTAACATCTAGCCTCATGCCATTCTCGTGCCGTTCTCATCCGGGCCCCTTAGCTAACCTTTAAGCCATCGGCTCCATACCCGGAATCGCTTTCAGCCCTGTCACGGCCACAGAGGGTCAGTTCTATTGACTTCCTCAGGAGACGCAAAACGCAAAGGCGAACTCACATCCATCCACATCCTCAGGGATGTTCTGCGGCAGGGTGCACCTCTGGGCCTCCTCCGAAGTCTGCGTCCGAAGCTCCTTGCAGACTGCATTGCCGCAGCGGGCATCGAGGGCGCGCTGGAGCGAATCGCCCTTCCAGCCGAAGACATAGTCGCCATGCTGCGAATACCCAAGTCTTTCACACTACCATCAGCCATTGCAACCCTAGGTAATCAACTTTTTTCGGGGAGACTTACGGATCGTTGGTGCTCCAGACGAACGGCTGCGAGCCGTCCTCTGGCCATAGCTCCTTGTCGTTGAACTCTGCCGTCTATTTATTCATTTTTTTCTTAGCAGTGGACATGTTTGGATCAGCATGGTGGCGGGACAAGGAGCTACGCACATCCCACATGACTTCGTACATGAGCTGGGGCAGCCGGACGGGGTGGCTGTCCGGGCAAGCGCCGGTTGTTTCGAACGATCCGACCTTCGGGTAGGCGACGTGGCTCTTGTGGTCGGGGCTGTCGGTGTTCTTGCCGTCCCAACAGGTGGGGAAGGTGATGGTTGTGCGGATGCCGCCGTCGCAGAAGCGGTTGGGCAGTTCCTTCGAGTCAGTTCCCGTGCAAGGAGCGCCGCCCTGGTCGTACGTGGCCCCCAGGCAGCGGTGGCAGAGCTGCTTTTGCATTCCCTTGGACTCTCGGAGGCCGGCGTCCCCAACCAACATGCGGAAGCCCGGCTTGAAGGCGGTCACTTTGGTCTTTCCGTCGTAAGGGGGGATGTAGTAGACCGTGACGCCGCCGTCGGTACGGAGGCCGACGTTGGGGAACTGGCGCACACGTTTGTACGTGCCGTTGCGGGCCCGGAAGTACAGGACGGCGGTCCAGTAGTTGGAGAAGTCCTCGGCGAAGGTGCAGCTGGTACACGTCGAGTCCCGGACGAGGTCGTGCGTGGCCGGGTCCATGCTGATGTTGAACGAGTTCCCTCCCACGATCTGGTGGACGTGCGGTGACTGGGGAAGCCCCGGGTTGACCAAGGGATCCATGCGGGCGATGACTAGCTGCGAGCAGCCGAAGCGGATCATCTGCTGCGCTGCAAGCCCCGGCGCAAGGAGCGCGAAGGTGAGGTCGGTGGTCTTCATCGCGTTTACCTACAACAGGGCACTAAAGGAAAGATGGGAAGCAGTACAGGTCAAGCTATGATGGGAACGACACAGCCGCGGGTAGGTTGGTTCACAGACCAGAATCACTGAGGAGAAGTGTTGCTTCCGGGTTCTGGTCCTAAATACACCAACGTTCCATCCCGGTCAGGGTAAAGGCAACCCAATGCCGGGCCACACCACGTTGATAGGATAGCCCGCACGTGCAGAGTAGATTGATTCTGCTTAGAGCCGGCAAATCTCAATCTTCTAGAAGGCAATCCGTATCATGACCGGATGCAGGTTCATGGGAAGATAATATCCGGCAATCAAATCACCCCTCCTCGTCACCGAAGAGGCTATGATCGACTCCGCAAGCAATATGGGAGAATGAGGCTAAACCAGTAGATCCAGCAAATTCCTCTGCTGGACTTGGAACGATCTTGAGAGGGAAGATATACAACCACTCTTGAGATATAAACCAATCTACTCGGCGACATCGTACACCACTGCAGACCGCCGTTATCACATAACCACACCCATCTGTGCACAATGCGGGACCGCCTTGTTTCATTCGCCTTAGTCACCGCCACGGCCGTTTTGCTGCCCGGTGCGTACGCCGCTAGACCGTGCGCCGGTTCAAGCGGGGGCAGCTTCCAGTATCCTCTCGGAGAATTACGATACGACAGTCCGGATCCTACCAAGGCCGATGGGCTATCCACGATCGCAGCTAGCCTGGGCCGGACCCCATTGCACGAATGCGTCGCGCAGTGGCCAGAGTCATGGGCCGGCTGGTACGAAGGGGGAAGCAAACTGATATGGGCAGACTGTATCTTCACCGGTGCTGCATTCACACAGGACGAAACCGTGTCCTTCGCGGTGGATTGGAAGAACAAGACCATGTACCTGGCTCACACGTTTGCCTGTTCTGACCAGCAAGGGTGGGTGTCCCCTTTTTCTACACCCTGGGTGCTGTTCCCTTAAAGCACCTATGCATCTCTCCACTACCAGTTATATCTGCATTGGCTGATCGGTGTCAACCTGTGTTCTGGAACAGGTCCGAAGGTCTGGCGACGGGGTCCATCAACCTCGACCTCAACTGCACGACCGCAGAAGACAGCAGCTTCTGCGTCCTCAAGGGCACGGCCGGGGGTGCTCGCCCAGCACTGAGCATCACCACCAAGCTGGCGTCGACCGCATCCAACACCACCGCGACATGTGCGGAGACTGCCAAGAAATACCAGTCGTGGAAGCTGGAGCACTGGCTGCGGAAGATTGAGATGGAACCCGGGTCCTCGCCGACGAGCCCCAAGGTGGTATCGGACACTGGTCCGTCATTCTCGCTGCGGAACCTGGCGGACGGCGGCCAGTTGAGCTGCACTCCCTCGGGCCAGAGCAACGGCACCATTGCAGGTGCTTGCCAGGCATCAAGCGGAACAGGAACCTCAGCGAACTTCACGTTCGACACAAAGTTGAATATGCTGGAGATCTCGCAGCAATGGAAATGCGATAGCTCGTACGTGTATTCTAGATGGAAACTGCTCTTTTCGGATGACTAGGCGGTTCACTAACAAGCGTGTGCGCATCATCTAGCTCGTCGTTCGATGCCGCCGGCGTCTTCTACATGCAAGCAGTGTGCGACCGGGGCCGCAACAGCGACCAATTCACCTGCACCTCGCTCCCTGTTTGGGTTGGCACTGGAGTTGTATGAGGGGTGCAGGATGTGACGCTGCGTTCTGAGTAGGGCAGCAAGACAGGTCGATGGTCACACTTGGTCGTACCTAGACACAGGTAGAGATTATTCAACAAAGACACACAATTGCCTCCTTAGTTTCCATCCCCTTCAGTATGAACGTCAGCATCGATCCGATCTAGAGCAGATCTATCCAAGCGTCTAACACTTACCACGAGTATATAATATGGGGCATACCGCGTCTCAAAGGCGCCTCCTCACCCACTATTACAAACCACACCAAACGCCCCACCCCTTCCTTCTAAGTTACAACCAACCACCAAACTACTATCGCAAATCCTTTGCCAAAATCACCATATGCAAATCCTCCCTCAGCGCCACCCCGCCCGTCCGCGCCAAATCAGCATACGGAAACGCCACCTCCTCCCCGGTCCGCCGGTACCCCCGGCGCAGATACCACGCAATCAGCTCCTCCCGGCTCCAAATCACCGACATCTCCATCCTCCTGGTGCCCCACACACCCGCTTGCAGTGCTCCTCGGCATGCGCAAGCACCTGCTTCCCCACCCCGCCCCCCTGCCGCCGCGGCGAAACGGCAAACATCCCGAAGTAGGCCGTCTCGGGCGTGCGGCGGAGGACTTCGCAGCAGGCTATCAACACCTCTTCTTCTTCCCCCTCCTCGGCCGCCGCCCCATTTGCAGCACTACTACTAGTGTGAGCGGTAGTGGCAGTGGCGAGCAGGACGGCGCCCTCCGGGTGGGTGATCTTGGCGAGGATGCCCTCGACGCTGATGCGGTCGCCCGCGAGCAGGTCGGCCTCGTTCGTCCAGCCGAGCCGGCTCTCGTTGCCGCGGTAGGCGGATTGCACGAGCGGGTAGAGCCGGGCCGCGTCGGTCGGGGTTGCGACGCGGAAGTGTAGGGGTTGGTTTGTGTGGTTGTTTGTGGTGGTGGCAGTGGTGGTGGTGGTGGTCGTCGTCGTCGCCATTGTCATGATCCGGGGAGGAGTTACTCCCTGATGAGACTCGCTGTGTGTAAGGTTGATTTTTGGTATGGAACGGGGTTGTCACTGTGTGATGTGTAGTTGGTACCGGTTTTTATTTTTTGAAGTGTCTCGCTGAAAGGCGTGAAATACTACAAAATTGATGACCCATGTCAGCGGAAGGGCGCTGTTAAACCCGTAGAAGCTCCGAATTTTGCGGAGCTTATTATGGAGTTCCGTCGGGTACTCTGCTGGCTGTCGGCCGAAAGCTTGTCAGCCCTGCTACAAACAGGGGAGCTTGGTCCCAGTACTACTATATATATGATAGAAGGAGGGCTCCTAATACTGGTAATCCCGGCGCTACGTTTTGCATGTTACATGTCTCCAAAGGGTTAGGTTAGCTTCGACAGCCAGATCATCCAAGACGAAACTAGAGCTTTTCCAATATTAGTGGCTTTGGAGTAGCAAATGACGTCCCTTTGTCCCGTTATTGAGAAGAAGGTGACATTCCAAAGTGGCGAAGTTGACAAACTTCGTAGCAAGTGGACCGCCCTGTAACTGACCTAGACCGACGTAGATGCCGAAGGCTGCTCGGTGCTCTTGCCAGCGAAGTACAATAGGTAGTCTAACAGATAATAGAAGGTTCTCAGTTCAGTCTACGTTGAGAGGCAGTCCGTTCCGGTTAAGTATAACCTTTTATCCGCGGAAAATGGGGCATGGGCTTCTTCCACCACGTATTATAGTAATGATTTGGCTTGCCTGGAGCCTAAGACAGCTTCCTTCTCGTGGGGTTTACCGTACGCCAATACGATATGTCGTTTGTGGGTAGGAGATAATATATTCATCCATTGTTGCTGAAAGTTGCAGGCAACTACCGCCATCAGGGTGCACTGCAGCGGATATATAACCGTCTCTCTCTTTAATAGTATCAATTCTGATTGGAAACATGGCTAGGAGTTGCTGTATACCTGAGGCTGGTAGCCTCGCACTAGCGTCAGAGGCTGTTATGAACTCCCGGCCCCTCGATCCGGATGTAGTATGTGTACCGCTATTCCACACTAGTAGTACCCGGGGCCCTATCATATTACAACAAGAGGACCTGTATACTAGTTCCAGGATTGGAAATAATCTCCTAGATATCCGCATGCTCTGTTGTTGAAGATTAGGTAGAGATGATTGCCTTAATTTTAGTCATCAAAACTCACACGGGGGATCTCTGCTCGCCCATTGAGTGCGGGGATCGATGAAATGTTACATCTTCTTATCTCTCGCCCATGCTCGCAGCGGTTGGGGTTGCGAGCGAGCCCCGCCTCCGCAAGTTCAGCTCTTACCTTATCCTTCCACGCCTTGATAACATTATCGCTGCCCTTCGTTGGTTTTATGTTACACCAGTCGCCACAAGACTGGCGATGTCCATCCGCACCTTGATTTGCGTTCATCTGTACTTGCGTGTAGTACTGCTGTCGAACCGGCACTGCCCATCATGACGGCCACAGAACCAGAGGTTGAGCGACGCGCTTCTTCCGGCAGCGTCAATGAAGGCGATGAGGACCGCCTTGCGCAGTTCGGGTACAAGCAGGAGCTGAGACGGGACTGGGGGTTAGCACACAACTTTGGCGTCTCCTTCTCCATCATCGTGGGTGACCAAAACTCCCAGGATAAGTGGTAGTAGCAACTACAAAACACGCCAGGCTAATACTAGGTACTTTTCCACAGAGCGTCATCACCGGCATCACGACACTCTTCTCCTATGGTCTGAACACGGGCGGACCGGCCGGTAGGTTGGGCGGTGGCTACTACGCGTGCAGGGAGCAAAAAGGCGTGATTGCTGACTTCCCGTATCGGTCGGAAATTGCCAGTCATGTCGGCCGGGTGGATCATTGTGTCCTTCTTCACGCTGCTGGTGGCGATCGCGATGGCCGAGATCGTGTCGGCCATCCCGACCAGCGGGGGGCCGTACTTCTGGGCGGCGCTCCTCGCACCGCCGCGGTGGTCGCCATTTGCCGCGTGGCTCACGGGGTGGTACAACCTGCTCGGGCAGGTGGCCGTGACGACGGGCATCTCGTTCGGCCTGGCGGGGCTGGTCTCGACCGCCGTCATCGTCAAGAACCCGGACTTCGCGCCCTCGCCGGGCATCACCATCGGCATCTACGCCGCCATCCTGGGCTCGCACGGGGTCGTCAACACGTTTGGCGTGCGCCTGCTCAAGCACCTGAACAACCTGTCGATCCTGCTGCACAGCGCGGGCGTCACGGCGCTGGCCGTCGCGGTGTTGGCCAAGGCGCCCACGCACCGGCCGGCCTCGTTTGTGTTTGGCAACTTCCACGACGGCACGGGCGGCACCGATTACGGCGCCGAGGGCTGGAGCGTCCGCGCGAGCCCCGTCTATGTCGCCGTGTGTGGCGCGCTGCTGTCGCAGTACACGCTCACCGGGTTTGATGCCTCGGCGCACCTGAGCGAGGAGACGCGCAAGGCCAGCTGGAGCGCGCCCATCGGGGTTGTGTCGAGCGTTGGCTTCAGTTCGTTGTTTGGTTTCTTCGTGCTGATGGCGCTGCTGTTCTCCATTCAGGACTTGGACGCCGTGTTGAACAGTGCGTATGAGCAGCCGGTGTTGCAGATCTTTGTGGATATTGCGGGCGAGGATGGCGCGCTGGCCTTGTTCTCGCTGGTCATGGGTGAGTTTAGCATCCACCTGGGATCTAGTCTGGGGGGGTTCTCTGAGAAGGGTTGAGATGCTGACATTTTTTTTGAGTGTGCGTGTGGCACTGTGGACTCTTCAGCATGACCAGCAACAGCAGGATGATGTTCGCCTTTGCGCGTGACGGGGGGATTGTAAGCTCTCACCCGGTCATACTCCTACCCCTACTCAAATTCAGCTAGAGCAGGTCAAACTAATCTCCCTATGCCGCTTCCTCCCAAGCACCCCTTCTTCCACAAGGTCGACGACCGCTTCCGCTCTCCCACCCGCGCGGTCTGGCTCGCTGCCACGCTCTCTTTCATCCTCGCCCTACCCTCGCTGGGATCCAGCGTCGCCTTCTCGGCGGCAACCTCGATCGCCACCATCGGCCTGTATCTAAGCTACGGCTTGCCCATCCTCATCGGCCTCGTATGCCACCGGTCCTTTGCGGCGATCAAGGGCCCCTTCAACCTGGGTGCGCTGTCCAGGCCGATCGCGACGGTCGCTTGCCTGTGGATCGGCTTCATCACGGTGGTCTTCTGCCTGCCCACAGCCAACCCTGTCACGAGCCAGACGATCAACTACACGGCTGTTGCCGTTGGAGTGCTTACCCTTGGCGCCGTAGGGTCGTGGGTCGTCTGGGCCCGTCGGTGGTTCACGGGGCCTTCGGTCGAGGTGGCCGAGGCGATGCAGTTGGGCGTGGACATCACGGAGCCGGGCGCACTGGAGGACCGGGAGAAAGGGGGTGCGAGTAGCCAGTAGACGTTGGGGCCAAACAGATACCTACATTAACATAGCACCACGGTCTCCCTTCGATTTGGGAGTACTTCCTGGAGCCGCCGCATCATCCACTTCTATTTCTATCCTATCCGTCTCACAGGTCTAAACGTCGTACTAGTAGTCTCACACCTCCCAAGCCCCATGAATCCCCTTAGTTAACCTTCGCCTGCCCCAACGACTGGATGATCCTCGCCCCATCAAAAAGACCACCGCCCGGTGCCTTGGCCCGGCACAGCGACTTCCCACGCTCCACCACATTGTTGCACACCAGGTTGCTCTGCTGCACGCAGCTGAGGGCGCCGCCGCCTGATCAATCGCCGTGTATTAGCTCTGTTTTCCTCCTGGCGCACAATTGCTTTCCCTCGCAAGTACTGGATATATTAAAAAAAAAAAAACAGAAAAAAAAAATAACCCACAGTTGTTGCCGCCGGGAACACAGCGGCCGGCCTGGCCGTTGGCGGCGGTGCACGCGTCTTGCTTCAGGCTGGTGTTGGCCACGCAGCAGGTCCCGCTCGGCACGGGCCGGTTGGCGTTTTGGCGGGCCATGACGGCGCGCTCATCCTGGGGCATGGCCGAAGCAAGGGCTGCGAGGCCGAGGACGATGGCGGTGAGAGAGAGCTGCATTGTTGTTGGAGGTGGGTGGGATGAAGGTTCGTTAATTTATTGAGCGGTTTGGGTGGGAGGTGTAAGGCGATGTGAAAAGAAAAGTTGGCCGGCCGGCGGTCTGAGGAAGAATAGAATGCAGAGAGAGGATAGATAGATAGAAGATGGATGAATGATCGGGAACCTGGAAGACTGGCTTGGGTCGAGGGAGATGGCACTTGGTAGCGGCAGGTTTAGGTTCTTTATATAGTAATGCAGTATGAATCATAGCTGTGCTGAGCTCCATGGAATTAGGATGGTACGCTGCGAAACTACCGCGATGGTACTGTACAGGTGCATGGTGTTGAGACCTCGTCAAGCCTGCACTGCAGCACCCCTTACCCAATGCAGCTCCAGCAACAAACGCTCGGCGGGATGGTTCCGTCTCAGCATCGTCTCAACTTCCGAGACGAGCCGGGGCATTTGTGAAGTGTGGATGCCGACCCCAACTGGAGACTCTGGGAGATACGACGCTGCGTTTCGCATCTGCCCTAGACTCCTGGAGGCCCTGCAGCCAGTCGCCTCGCTTCGGAATTCAGAACCGCCTTGCCAATGGCGCTAGGATTAAGGTATTTACCATCCACCGATGCAGTCTTCGATGAGGCCGCAAATGCAAATGCGACGACACTTTTAACGTTGACCCCTGTCCTACAGGGACCAGTTTTGAGTTTTGAGTCCAAAGTTTTGACAGTCCAGGGGTGAGCCCCGGATCTGGGGATCAATGCACATCCAGGTCGGCTCGACCCGAAAAGCTGCGGAGTGTTGATTGAGAGTTTCTTGATGATGGCCTTCCTGCTCTGTGAACTGCGGCAGCTCCGGCCACAAACATGACTCCATCGCCGTGGACGAGGTTAGCGCCGCGATCAATTGGACCGGTGCGGTCGCGGTTTCCGAGCGTACTATAGTGTACCCAATATCAACAAAATCCCACCTGTCATCGAGGAACTGTAGTCGAGAACTGGAAGACCGACTAAGAGTGGCTACTAGTTGAAATTGACCCAGATTGAGCTCTCGAGGTGGGTATATCACTGTCGGCAAGTCGGCCGCTAATAAACTCCCCGATAATCGATTCCCGACGCCGCTTGAACTGCTGCCGAGAGGGTATTGGGTCACCTGTACCAGATACCGATGACATCTGCCTTTCCGGCAGCACGAAGTGAAAGACATGTCAACTTTGGAAGTTGTAACCAAGAAAGTGAAGATTGTAAGGTACAGTAACACTGGCATATAGGTAGCTACCTAGGGTTAGGGCGCCCATCTCCATGTCATCATGTCATGTGCTATTATCGAGATGATTCCCTGATTTCTTCACCGTTCATCATCTCATCTTTGTACCAGCGCAAAGTACCTGCAAGCATGCCTCTCCACCCAACAGCAGCCACCCTAGTTCGGCTTCAGACCAGCCCCTCGGTGACGACTACGGAGAGGGATTTCGGAGAAATCATCGACGAACTCACCAAGGCAGCCAAATCGCTCCTCGATGCTCCGGGACACCAACAGAGCGCGTGGGGCCGGCTGCAGTCCGACCTCTGTTCATAAGTCCCTTCCTGCCGTATTTTTAACTGAGTTTTAACTTCCCAAGAGATCACTAGACAAATCCCCACTGCCTCCAGTCTAGGACGACCTAGCCGCTGTTAGCGCCTTCCAGGCCTCGGTTGCAGCGTAGATAATGGCGTATAACCTTAGCATCTTAACCGACGCCCCGGGCACCCCGCTAGTGCTCACCGCTATCAACTTCGGAGGCAGCCTTAACTTACAAGCCATTCTACACCACCATATATAAGTCCGCCGCGTATACTTCCCGTCCCCTGTCCCCGACGCGGTACGCATAGATATCCGGCGTTTCCCAAGGCTAGTATATCGTTATAGAATAGGGATCTCGGGATAGGCAACATCGCCGGAGACACGCAGGTATACTATGGAGTTCTAGCGGCTAGATGGTTCGTAGGTAAGGAGAGATTAGGAGAAAATGCTAAAGCAGAGAAGACTATAATAAAGCATTGGGATAAGAAAGAGTACGACGAGTTTATATGCGTTATGTTTTGAAGAACAAGGAGGAATATCTAGAGCAAGAGCGGCTTCCTATAACGGTACCTAGGAGTAAGCCCGGTTGTGACGAAACCACGGGCAGTTCTGCCTCTGAAAGGGTTCGCCGGTCGAAGGTACTGCTGGTCGGACTGTAGGTCTCGGTGAAGCCAAAAGCTTCACAACAATGCTATTCGCAATGTCTGCACAATAGGTGGAAACTATTGCTTGTATTGCTCACTGGAGAACTCCCAGAGTTCTCCAGAACGAGTGGCTATATACTGTCTATCCTTGGGTGCTCTCATGTGCTCTATAAAGCTCCTTAGAGCTTGATGCTCTGTTGACTCCATCGAGAGCTTCCTTCCCTTCACGCTGATTGGCTTAGTTCCTTGAGCTCTCGTCCGCTCTCTAGAGCTCTCTAGAGCTCTTTCTCATTGGTCCTAAATGATTGGTTCGGGTGCGTCCTGCACCACCGGCCGGGTTGTCCCACCTGCAGCTGTCCTATTAGCTTAATTCATGACACCTTTATATAGATTATACATACCTATAAACTACTATATAGTATCGAATTCCTTAGTATAATTTGCATTGATATAAAAAGCAATATCTTATAATTATCAGGTAAGGTCAACGAGGATCTCCTATTTGTGACGAAGGTTGTCCTAATCCTATGAAAGGGACAATATAAAGGTATCGCAACAATGGAGTGAGGTTTGGTGAAGCTAAAAGATTCATAACAATGTAAGCTATAATGTTTGCATAGTAAGTAAAGGCTACTAATTGTTATTGCTCACTGAGAAAGCTAGTTATCTGAATAAATGACATAATAGTAGAACTATATATTGCTTCCTCCTCTAGGCATCCCTATACCTAGATCTCTAGAATATTCAGAACAATGTTCTTTAGCATTATTCCTTAGGAATAATTATTCTTAGTATTATTCTTAACCTCTCTAATCTTTATTAGTCCTTCCTAGCCTATAATAATTAGATATAGGCACTACCTACTAGCTATATAAGTTGGCCTCTAACTAGCCTCTATAGGTTAATATATAATATAATACTCTCTCCTTAGAGCTATTTGTCCTAAAAGCCTAAGTGTGACGAAACCACAGGCAGTCCTGCCTCTGAAAGGGTTCGCCGGTCGAAGGTAACTGCTGGTCGGACTGTAGGTCTCGGTGAAGCCAAAAGGTTCACAACAATGCTTGCCGCAATGTCTGCACAATAGGTATGGGCTATTGCTTGTAATATTGCTCACTGGAGAACTCCCAGAGTCCTCCAGAACGAGTGACTATATACTAGCTATCTTCTTGGGTGCTCAGTACTTCGATTCGATGAGCACCCAGGTGCTCATCGTGATATGCCCCTGATCACTCTGATCGCTTACATCCTGCAGAGTGCTCAGCGGTATTGGCACCTTAGCACCTTTGCCTGTCTCTGACTGGTCCGCCTAGTTGTCCAAATGATTGGCTCGGGACGCCCCCGCGTCCCCACATACGGCCGTCTGCCCTGCAGCCTGCCGTTGGTTAATTCGTGACACGATGCCCCTCCTCTAGGGTCGACGCCCCGACGACCAAGTTCCTGAAATAACCAACAGCCCTGGCTATTCTCCTTGTGTCTCGCCCTAGTAGGTTCTTCCCTCCTGCATCGTCGTCATCATGCCTGACCGTATAGAGAAAAAGAAACGAACGAGTTCTGACCGTCGTCGCGATCAGGTGCGCTTCCTCGCGCGGACCGGTGTTATCATGCCTTCCTGCACTTATTGCCACGAGAAGAAACTGGAGTGCGTTGCTCATGAGCGTTACGAACGTTGCCTTCCTTGCGTCAAGGCAGGTCGTTCCAACTGCGATGTCCATGGCGTAGATTGTGAGTCTGCCGCTTCTCTTTGCTCCCATGCTTGCTGACTTCCGTAGTGCGTCCTTTTATTAAGGAAAAGGAGCGTCTTGATGCCGAGCGTCGGGCCACGATTAGCAAATTACTTCGTTTGGAGCAACAGTCGCGGGCGTTGGAGGAGAGGGCTCGTGCAGCCTTCCGTCGGGAGTCTCGTTTGTTGGACGAGGAGGAGAAGGAGGAGTCGGAGCAGGCTTCCCTGGCCGCTCTGCCTTCGGATGGCACGGCAGCAGCGTCCCTAGGTACTACCGCTTCGCCTTCTTTGTCGGATTTCCTTGCTCCAGGTCCTGCTTCGTCGGATCACTTGGATCCCAACTGGTTGTCGGACGTTCCTATAGACTGGAGTGTTGTTGGGGGAGGTCCCTCGTTTCTGGCTCCACAGGGTTCTGGTGGTGGGAGCCCTCCGGTTTCTCAAGGTAGTGGGGGTTCGTAGCTGGTGGTGGTCGGGTCTTGGTCGCGCCTGCCGTGCGTGTCGTGTTGTAGCGTGGCTGCCTGCAGCCGCTCTTTCCTGCCTGGGGTTCTCAATCTGATTCTTGTTGCCTGTTTCCCGACAAATGAAATGGCTCAGTGGTGTAGCTTGGTTATCACACCCGAGTGATTGCTCTGGGAGACCATGGGTTCAAATCCCATCTGTGCTACTGCTGGCTGTGGTATGGGATGACGTCGTGCAAGTCGTCACCCAGAACACGGTCAGCTTTTGCGTTTTTCCTCCTTCCTGGGCGGTCTGGGTTCCTTCGGTGGAATTCTCTTAGTTTTTCTGCGCAGCTGAGGTGTTCTGCTGGTTCCCATGAGTTGTCTTCTGGCCCGAAGTCGAGCCATTTGATCAAGTATTCTAGCCTTCCGTTGGCTATTCGTGAATCCAAGATTTCCTCAACGTCCCATTCTTCTTCTTCGTCCTCGGCTTCGATGTCCTTTGCAACCCGTGCGTTCCTGGGTGCTGGTTCGAGGAGCGAGATATGGAAGACGTTGGTGCGTAGCTTCATCGTTGATGGTAGCGAAAGTCGATAGTTGGATCTCGAGATTCTTGCGTCGATTTTGAATGGTCCAATCTTTCTGAAGTCGAGCTTCTGGCTTGGCCGTTTCGTTCTCAAATTCCGGGAAATGAGGTAGACCATGTCTCCTCTCTCAAGGCGAGGTCCCTCGAGCCGATGTTTGTCGTAGTACTCCTTCATCCTGAGTCTGACGAACTCGAGTTCTTCTTTTAGCATTGCATGCAGTGCATGCATCTTCTCCGCCTT